TTCCCGATGAAATTACAGCGACATTAATAGACGTCAAAATAACAAAAAAATAATCATTAAAAAATAATTAGAAGAAAAACATACGTAAATTAATATAAACAGTCGTCAAACAGGCAAAAACCCAAACGGTTTTTTTATGTAAAGTCGAAAAATACCATTCATTATTCGTTACATAAAGAAATTGATTCGGCAATCAACGCGGCTATACAGCATTTCGAATTTCCTTTTCATGCAAAAAGTTTCGTTTTCCAATTTAATCCAATTCGATTTCGCGTCGGTGTAAAATAACCTTCGAAATTCAATTCAATTCCGAGTTTTTCGACAATCAAACATTATTATTATATTCGAAATTGGTAACCTTCTCTCTGCGATCCGAAAGCAACGATTCAAACGAAACGAAACGAAACGAAAAAAAAAATCAATATACAAAGGACGATGCCATGTAATAATAAAGCCTTTCAAGAACAGCTGGCATTCTCTGCCGCTCTGCCGACACCTTATTGAATTAAAAATGTATTTTTGATTGCATTCATCTTCGTCCTTACTTCGTAGAACAATAACGTACTTATAGGGGTCTCTCCTATTGTTGGAAGAAAATTTATAACCCACATGGCTTCTCCTTTCATGCATTTTTCATGCCTCACTTGAAAAAAGTCGACTATTACAATTGAAATTAGGTATAAATGGGAAAAGATAATTATACTCGCTCGACCGAGAAATAAATAATCCCATAATGGAGGAATAAATGTCAGAACTTTAAAGGCAATTACACAATGAAGTATACAAGTTCCTACAATTATTCTATACCTGCATTCGGTATTACGGTAAAGTTCCACGAATCACCAGAAAACTATTTTTCTTTTATATAAGACAAATTAATTACAATGTTTATGCTGTTATTTAAATTGCTAGTTATTAAGAATATTTCCAACGATACCAAGCCAATGATAAATAATAAATAACTACTAGGTAATAAGAAAAGTCTAATTACTGGTTAAATAATTACTTGTAGGTACATAGGTATACGGTAATTGGTAAATTCTTTGAACATTATTGAGATTTCAATAGCCAAAGGAACGCGCATTCTAAGCATTTCCTGCAATACGGGATATAGAGTAGTTAATTAAATACTATATCTGTATTAAATAGTATCAATTCAAATTATCTTTATACCAGCATAATAGCAGGTTATTGGCGTTTGACAATTTGTTGAACTTTCATGTCGAATGTCTCAAGAGAGCCATAACGCAAACAAATTCTTAGCGAAACAGCCTTCAAACCGATTTCCATGGAATGAATGAGAAATAATAAAATTTCAATAGACTCGGTAAATAAGCAGTTCTCCGCCATCGTTCCACAAACTCCAGTTATAAAAAGAAAAGAGAACTTTTTCGAACGGCCATCGAGCAAGGAGAAGAATGCCGCGGTCGACCAAAATCTAAATTATATTCGAAGAAAAAAGCGCTATTTGTCGAAAATGTTCAACTATTTTAAACGGCCATTAGATCGACGGTCAGTGAGTGAATAAGCACGTACTTAACGGACCACCGGCGTGTAAATTATCTACGGGCATATGGGCAAAGAGTTTACCATTTATACCTTTTGTTTACCTACTAAAGGAAATTTCGAAACGATCTCGACCACCCAGACAAGACGCCATTAAAACTGCGGTTTCTAAACCAACAATTCGCATCGTAATTGTAATTTTCCTCCTCTTGTTATCAACAAAAACAACTACCTAACATCCGATACTTCTCTAAGAAATCTCAAATAAATATTTACACATTCAGATCAAGTTAGAATAGTAACATTAATTCTGTAACAAACCTACAGCATGAGTCAATGAATGCATCAGACTATCTAGTATCTACATAGGGACAGAACGATAGCAGTCCCTTTCCCAATGCTCTCGTTATATACGAATGCCGATTTCCCTTCGAACGGGAGCCTTTCTTCCCTAACGATGGTTGATTACTCGACTGCGTTTTAAAAGTAACGTCCGGGATGCAGTAGATTAATATAATAGGTCGTTGTGTGCTAGTGCGTGTACACGCCACATAGCGTATTACATAATGCCCGTACGGCGCTTTTATCTTTTCATGCGGCCCTCGGAGTGGGTAAAGTTTCACTTCCCGCCCGGCTCTCACAGGAATTAATTCCAGAGCGTTCAAAGTGCGACTCTTCAATTCGAATGGACTTCTTAATGCGACGCCGAGCACTTAGAGATCTAAGCGAACGCGAAGAATAAGTTCATTATTTAAGTGGTATATTGTTCCTATTGTACTACTTTTGGTATTCAGATGATATTAATATTGGTTTCGTTATACACGTACTAAAAAATAAGCGTGTATTCCGGTGAAACCATCATGCGAAAATATCATTTCATCCAGGCATGGCGGTTAAATATAGTAGGCAGTTTGAACAGCTGTTACAATATAATATAGGGAAAATAAATATGTTCTGATACGAGAATTTCAAAATTAGACGGTTCGGAATTTATTATCATCATCGAAAATGTATGTGATTATTCAGCTCGTGGAAAAAAACGCACGGTATACGAACGAGGAATAAATTATAGGGGAACGGGAACTTGGGCCGAATTAGTGTTTTATTTTATAATTCCACATTATAATGATATTCAATCCTGCATGCGGATATCGCTCGCATGCAAGTTGTTGCGAGGAGTTTTCCTTTTTTTTGTTGTGAAGTCATCAGAGAGACAAATTTCCGGAGAATTAAGAGAGCTATTTTCGTATAATCAGAAAATTTAGTTGTTGAATTGCAGATATTATTGAAACTAGTCTCTAATTATCTCTCTAATAATTTGATTTGTAATGTGGCTTTGGAGCGAAACCAGTCACTTTTTCACGCTCAATAGAGTTTGATATGCATATAAATGGATATTGAAATTAGGACAATTAGGTATCAAAGTGGGGTGAATATTGTGAGAAGAGATAAGAAACAATTTCAAGTGGTTATAAAACAAATTTCGAATGCGTTATAAAACTTAAATTTATCGCTTTGCCGTCGATTGTATAACCGGGTCCTTAGAGATTTTATTTATACTCTTTGAAGTTTGTACCGCATTTCAGATGGATAAGTTCTGATTGTCATTTTACGAGCCGAAAATAATGCATTTCGAGTACGAAACCTCCATTGTGTCGTGTACCTAATAATTGAATCGCAATAGCAAACAGCGAAATCGTTACTTTGTCGTCGAGTTATGCAATTTTTATTGCCGAGTTTATAGGACAGCCGCCGTCCCCTCGTAAAATTTCATTGTTATTAGAAGAGCCTTTTCGCTCAAACTATTTATTATACGCCGGACCGTAATGCGGGTTTTCGTGGGATGGCGGAGACCGAATGGTTTTCCTGAAACACATTATTAGAAGCATGGGCGTCCCCCCATCACTATACATACTTTAATCGATCGGTGTATTATATCCTCAACAATTAAAAAACCCCCTTTTTTGAACATGTAACAATCGAGTTAAATCTTTTAAATAAACCAGTCCGCTTCGAATTTCATCCCTCATTGAATCAATTAATAACGTTTTTCCTCATCAATATAAATTACAATAGCGAGTTAATAATTTACGGCCGGCCTTTTCGCGGCGTATCTTATCTATTCGTGGCAATTCAAAAACGAATATTAATTATGATTATATCTTCCCGTTCATTCCGCGTTTCCCCATCGCATCAAATCGACCATCTATGTATAATTTGAAGTTATTGTCCATATTTCCCCGGCACAATAATTTATGAATATTAATGATGGCGTATAACGAGCAACGGTTGCTTCGGTTTCTGTTCCGCTATATCGGAGAATGTTCCCGTTCGCTCTGTCAATGTCAGAGGATGCGTTTTAACACGATATTGGGGAATGCTCCGCCGCCCAATCGATATAATTACTCTCATGTAAAATGTTATGAAAGTTCGTACCTCTTAAAATGACAATGACTTCATTTTTAGTAAGGTCTAAAAGGTCTAAATGGTTCTGGAACGTTGTAAATGATTCCAGAGCGTTCTAAATGATTCTACACAGTTCTTAAAATGATTCTAGACAGTAAATGATTCTGGAACGTTCTAAAATTCTAAATTATTCTTAACAGTTCAATTCTAAATGGCTCTGGAATGTTGGTCTAAACGATTCTAGACTATTCTACATGATTCTGGGACGTTTTAAACGATTCTACACAGTTCTACTGAGGGATTTTTACCAGACGGATTTTTAAACAGGGTTTTTACGAGCATGTGTTATCGTTCGGGTATAACCAATACGTGTACCTTTCAGGTAAACATTGAATAATATTCCTCGAGTGTATAATTTAAATTTCAAGTAAAAAATAATAACCACCGGAGAATGCATACGATAATGATCTTGCTCGAGGAAGCAGCATTTGGCTGATTGCGTGATAATATTTTACGAAGAATGTACTTACAAACCTCGTTCTCAGATAAGTGATACTTATTTTTGTAATTTTAGCGGTTTAACCACGAAAGTTACATTATACTGGGTGTCCCGCATAAGAACCGGCACGGAGAAGGGCAGTGTAGGGGAGCACAAAGTATGTTGTTTAATCCTTTTGAGTTATCGAGAATAACACAGAGTGTACAAGACTTTATTTTTTAGCGGTTTTTATCAAAACGAACAAAAATTTTTAAAAATAAAAAAAGTTTTAAAATGAAATTACCTATAAAATGAACTAATAATTTATTCAATTATCCGGTAGGTAAAACGATTCTGTAACATTTTAAGATAGCATCATCCCTGATCTCCCTAACTATCAATTAATGCTCTTTCAAGTTTGAGTATAACTGAAGATATTTTTTTAATTTGAAAAACTCCACTTTGAAGACCTCCAACTTTTCAGGAATGCAACTTTGTATTAAGTTAAGCCCCTACACTCCCCTGCTCTGTGTCGGGTTTTATGGGGGACACCCTGTATTTTCAATAGGTGAGTGTTTGTATGAAAGAAAATTCGATGAAAATGAATCGACTTAATTGAATTTATTATTATTAATTTAATAAAAAAAATAAACTATTCAAAATTATACAAATACTAATATATTATATTAATATCGTTAAAAAAAAGAAGTCAAACAAAAAAATCTAACCGCTGTAGCATTGTAATTGATATCGTCAAGTAAAATTAAAAAAAAAATTATCAAGAATTTTAATCTTCAATTCGCGCCAAACAACGATAAATATACTTTTCAATTTATTCAACAACTAGTATCAACAGGTCCTCCCATACGGTATGCGCGTGTTTGGGATAAAAAAAATACCTAACAATATTATACAAACACATAATTTGCCCAATTACGATACTAACAGCGAATACTACGTTAAACAGTAGACGCTATGAGTTATAAACCTTCGGTATTTTTATAACTAATTTAGGTAAATTCGTTTTCGAATAGTTAAACAACAGCGCTAATTGATTGGCTGTGGACGCTAACAATTTTTTCGTGGGAATTGCGTAGTATTTAAAACCTAGTTGTTTGCGTAAAGCGTATTTTTCGGCCCTTAGAAGAATAGTGTAGTATTTAAGGAAGAACGAATCTTCTGATAAAGGTTTTTCGATTTGTTCCGGCACTGCGAAACCAACTTTAACCAAACATTCACCGATGTTTAACACTCGCTCTTTAGTCTGTTGTTTGTTCTAAAAAAACATTATAGTGCAGTAGCTATTCATTTAAATACTCCTACAATTAACTTACGTCTTTAACATCTTGCTTTAGGAGCACTTTGCATTCGACAAAGTTCTTTTCTTTCGAAACTGGCACGAACGTTACGTTCTGGCCGGCAACGATCGATTGCAACCAATTGGTTCCCAAACCCGAGACTTTAATGCCGGAAATTTTAACGGGCAGTTCACCAGAAGACGTTAACGGTACGCGAACCAACGGTTTGTGATCTATAATCAGTAAGGACCCGTTCGGGTCTATCCTTCTAACGCATCCTTCCAGTTCTCTACGTTCTTTAATAAAGTGATTAGGTACGTCCAAAGGCTTACGGAACTTACTGAACTAGAACAAACATTGTTTTAAACTATTCTACGTTAATGTGAGTGAGTCTAAAGCGATGCCCTCGATTAAAATAGCTACTACACTGGAGTGATAAAAAGTGTCACTTACCGGACGAACTTTCCTCACTGCTACCGTCAAACCGAAGAGAGCCAGAGAATAGCACGTAATCTACAAAACAATATCGAACTTAGGTCATAGTTAATAATAAAATTTTGTAAATTATGTAAAGGCATACCTGTACACCACGACTGTCTTTTTCCATGTAATCCGCAACGTTATTTAAAGTGCTTTTAACTCTCTCCATTTTGTGATAACGTTTATCGAGTCGTATTATTTTTATTTCTTCGTTAAAATTTCGTTAGTTCATTATATAAATGTAAATACTAAAAATAAAATGTCGGCGATTTAAAAATTTCTGGCAGCTGTCTTTAAAGGTTATGACATTGACAGGTGATATGTCAGATTTTAATATGTCAAGGTTAGAGTCACGGTCGTATATTATAAGACCTGGAAACTCTGTTACAAATCACGACGCGTTCAAATTTATATGAATTTATAACAATATAGGCAAGTAAAATAATAATGAAATAAGCTCTGCAAGCAATTATTATTAGATTATCTAAGTTATGGATGCATCTCCAGCAAACTAAATGTTGAATTCAAAAAATATCATTTACAACATTGCTACCTACCGGTCATTTTAGCAACTACTCGCTATGAAATAAGTTTCCTGACCTTATATTATACGACCGTGGTCAGAGTACGTTCGAATTGTAATGTTTGTTTCCTAATAGTTAGGCAACACTGTTTACCGAATATAATTTTTAAATACCTTCAATACAGGGAATTAAATATGCGTGAATAAATAAATAAGTGGAGTTTTGTTGACAAAAAAATGCTTAATATGAATATGTAATTTATTTATTAGTTTCCATAGGACAATTCACGATGAAAAATATGACGCATAACCGATTTATAGGGGCGTTTGGACCTTTTTTTGGACCGTTTTTTCTTATGTTTATCTGTAACAGAAATTAATAGCTTAAATCGTACTTAATGTGCTAATTAAAAAAGTACCCTCAACAGACATGCCGTTGATGTCGTAGGGCTCGTCATCGAAATTATATACCAATACTTTGGTACGATCTGGCGGCGAAGCCGTCGCCTCTATCGGCCTGTCTTCACCCTCATGATAGGGCTCATCAGTTTCCCCTTCTTCTTCCTGGCCCTCCTCTCCTTCAACTCCGTTTTGCCCATCACCATTGACAGGAGTTTCGGGCGTTGGAACCTGACCTGGGACTCCTAGAGGTGGACTCGGCTGGCCCATTTGCAGGGGCTCGCATTGCACGTAACACCCAAAAGGAGCGAATTGCTGCCGGTACTTGATGGCCTTAGTGCTGTTTTTGGTCTGTATGAATTGCTTGACAATTATGTTTCTTCGCTTGCTTTTCGAATTAGGGGTTAGATGCTTATTGGGGACTGAAATAAACGAGCTGTAGTTCTACAAAATTATATCGGAATTATATCGAAATTACCTAATAGGTTCTTGCTTTTACCATTGACTTTTTGTTGTAAGTTGGTTACGTTGTTTATTAATTGCGGGATAAATTGTGTGTTGGTTTTGTTGTTGGTAGGGGGATTTACCGATACCTAAAAAAATATCGCCATTACCAATCTAGTGATTTCTATCAGATTTCTGCATTATATCGATTCGTCTAACATATGCAAATATTGGTACATACTGGTATATGAGTTGTTGAAAGAGGCGTAGCAGAAGGAGAAAGTACTTCACTGGGCAATACTGGACCTATATCTTGAGGCATCTGTTGTATGTATATAGGACAAATTACGTTACATCTCTGAGGCCAGCATTTTAGATCATAATGCATTTTTTTGCGATCATTTGCTGCAAATTTCTTTCTAGAGGTCTGTTTCTGTTCATTCTTTTCGCCACCTAAAACAATGTACAATATAATGATTAATATTATTAGATTTATTAAGATATTTCGCTTACTTATAACGATTTCTAAAATACTTAAAAAAAGTATGAACAATACTAGTTTATTCATCGTATTGTGTTTAAAATAATGCATTACAATTCGTAGTGGCAAGCAAACTGATTATTCGACGATTAGGAAAATGGGAAATATTTTAAAATGTTAAGGTAACGTTTTTAAAATACCAAGTTCCGTTGCCGATATGTTACATTTGCATAAATATTTTAAATGTTGCGGGGCCTTACGCACTTATGAGCAGTCGTACCAATATAGTAATGTTTTTTAGTTACATTGGTCAAACCAGATGGTGTTAGTAGACTCAAAATAAAATTCTGTAATTAATGTTCTGTGTCAAAATTAAATATTTAGATGGTTTCTAACCTTGCTCAAACTAGTTTTGTAGTATTTTCGATAAAGTATTAACAGGTGGCGCAACAGGAGTGGATCTGTCGCGGTTTCTGTCATCTGTGAGAAGGAATCTCCACCAGCGCCCTGGAGAGGGCAGTAGTGGCTTGTGATTTACAAAAATGCTGAAGAAATGAAGAATAAAAAAATCGCGTACATTTAACCAGCACGAACCAGCAACCAGTAACCAGCATTAATTTTATTAGATTTCTAAACATATTGCTATTGTTTGTGAACACTGAGAAAATGTGTAAGTATAATACCTAATCAATTTTTGAATCATGCACCGGTTCCTTGATAATTTTACCAAAAATACCTTCTTAAAGAATATACAAGTAGTTATACCTGTTAATTTGAAAATATCTTACAAAATATTTTTTGGATAGCTAATTGAAGCAAATATCAGGTAATTCTAAGTTATTCTTCCGGTAACTGGTTAATTAATTTTGGTCCTCAAATTTGAATTAGGAAGTTAAGTATTAATAGAAGAAAATTAATTATTAAGTACCTATTAATATCCATCGATACATAGTGATTTCTTCATAGCAAAAACCTCAATACTACATGAAAATCCGCATCGTTAACACCCGAAAATCCCTGCTAACGTACGCCCATGGAACCATCCATCACGAAGATAGGGCGAGTTGGTTGACAGATAGTCCTTAATTAATATAGAGGCGCTCCGCCCCGCTTTTCACGTCACGTGACTAATGGATTTCCACCGGCGTTTGATGGTTTTTCCGTATTCTCCGCGCGAATTTCCAGCGACGCGAAACTTTTTCCGACCTTTTCCACCCTCGCCATCCGAACGCACTTAGTCCAATTTAATTTTGAACTACGCCTTTACTCACAATATTCCTTGCAACATCTACAGAGTATTCAGAAATGATTGATTCTCACGTGATCGAATTCGAAATGAACGTAGTAAATTTGTTATGTTTATGTTGGTAACCAAAAAATAAGTTACTAGAATACTGTCATTAATGTCAACGTCAACTTGATGAAATCTGGGTAGAAATAACGTGTTTTGTTTATTTTTCCTAGTTTTTCCTGTGCTTTTCCCGAAGAAAAGTGTGTATCAACATAACCTTTAATTAATGATATAGGTAAAAGTAATGAAGAACCAAGTGGATTAATGTTTTTCCTCCACTGTGTTGATTTGTAATTAAAATAGGGACATTTCTTGAAAATGATAACAACTGTGCACTTTGGGTTGCATAAATTTTTAAGTCACGTGGGAATCAATCATTTACGAAGACTCTGTATATGCTTAGTAAATGCTATCTTTTACAGTACTAATATAAAAAGTGTAGTGTAAGAAGTAGAGGGTTTTATGTATAGGAACTGTAATTCTTCGGTTCTAATTATACAGATTATAGTGCTTATTAAGGAACACCCTCTGCCCCATGTTCTGGGTTTCGATATAAAAAACGAACTTCCACCGTACTGAGTCATAAATACGTAGGAAGTAAATGCAAACTAGGGTGAAAAGTCATAACTCATCTTCCGGCACTAGAAAGCTGGTATGGACAGCGCATAAAATGCGCTCTATGGGTTGTTTCGCGTTTTATATCTCTTTTATTTCTTCCATTCCACGTTTACGCCGTGATTTCGCCGAGTAATAATAAAAAATATATTGCATATTAAACTAAATTTTTATATTCCGACTTGTGGGAATGCGAAAGTAACGCCTGACGTGTGCGCGATAAATAAACACGTACTAAAGGTAGATAATTACGGTGTAAATTGAATTTTATCGGGCGTTATTACCTATTCGGATGGATTCTAAAAAATTATAGGATTTCGGATTTATTTCGTTAGGGGTTTGTTAGTATACGTTTAGCATAAACAAGCGATTTTCCGGGGCGTTTTTTTATTCCTCTTCACTCACTTATCAACCGATGGTAATCGAACGTATTTTATGTAGCTGTAATTACTTGAAATAATCACCAATTGCACGTTAAAACGATCGCTTTTCGGACTTGAAAAAATCTCGAAGGAAACTACAGCGTTTTAGAAGGCGAACACTAATTGAAAGCAGAAATGCGAACCGATAATGCCCGTCCTTCATTTCTAAGTAGAAATCGTTTATCATATATTAACGCCTCTTTATTGACAAATTGTTTGCGTAACCAGCTTCAGAAACAATTGTGCATATGGAGATTAAAAAAAACGGTTGTTTTTGTTAGGTATAGAGGTTCTTAAAAATTAAATAATAATTACAGAAATTTGCTCAAGGAAAACATAATAAAACTCCAAAAAGTATAAGACTAGAGTAGATTCAGTAGGCTAGAATAAAGTGGAGTAGAGTAGAGTAAAGTAGAATGGAGTAGAGTAGAGAAGAAAAGGTTTCATTAGTATCTCCTGATGTCGAATGGAGTGGGTAATACGAAATAACCGTTTCATAAAATTGATGAATTTTTCCGTTTTCCAGCTCGCAACCGGGGAATCGGGAAACTCCTTTGTTTCATTAAAAAAACAACGCAAAAAGGAAGCCCGAACGGATTGCATTAAATATTCATTTCGCATGGAAAAATCGACTGATATTAAACGCTCGAAAAAATTTTCGGATCCGCTCTTTTTTTCCCGTCATACCGTCGTTTTTCGAGTGGGCGCTCTGCATCGCTCTCTTATTGCCTACCTACCCGCCTGCATTCCTCCACCGGCAGCGCGGAAAATTTCCTTTGAGAGGGGCGAACTTCAAAGCGACGAGGAGGATCGCTAGGCAACCGTCGAAACTCGACGGATTGCGATCCGATTGAACATGTCGCCCGAAATGTTTTCCGTTTTGTTTTTTACGTACGGCTGATACAGACAAAGGAAATCTGAATATTAATCGAAAACGCCAGGTATTCGCGTGGGCGGATGGAAACGCGAATATTCCGGACACGATGGCGAAATTCCCGGTATATGAGGAGATGATACAAGCACGATTGTTATGTTATATTAGAAGTGGGTTCTACAGAGATTCTTCAGGTGAAATGGGCAATCAAAATGAGTGAAAGAAAATTGTTATTTTCCATTGTTATTGGTATCTATAGAACACTAAAATTATTCTGGTGTTATGGTTGAAGAATTAAACAGGCATTTTATATCTAATTGTAAATAGACATGAAATATTTGACTCCTATAGGTAAATTAGGCACAAGAATAGTTCAGGAAGAAAAGGAGCATTTAGGTATTTAAATTCATTGAAAGCCTTGAAAGAAATTGAAAATTCTTGGATTTGTTTAATTAAAAAGCAGTGTAATGAACAATTTTGTAGCGTATGGTTGAGTAGAAGATAGTGGAGAAGAATAATGTAGAGTAAAAGAGAATATTGTAGAGTAGAAGAGAGTAGAGTAGCGTAGCGTATAGCAGAAGAGAGGAGAGCAGTAGGATGAATAAAGAATTCTAATTTTTGGAATTATTATATTGAAAGAGAATAATATGTGCATAAAAATACTATGCTTTAAATAAAAGTTCTCAATCATCAAAAGAATTGTTTGTGGTTATATTTTCGGGGAACTCTGAGCTGAATTTACGTTCGCTCAAAAATATATAGAGCTGATATAAATCACTTTCCCATCAATGGAACATATAATTTACATTATTAAAATTGTTATTAATAACAATAATGTCCTTATTATACGTGACTGATCGATTTTGATTACTAAAACCGTTTTATATACACGGGCTCGATTCGGTTCACCTGAAAAACATCCTCGGTCGAGCGAACGCGTTAAAAATCACTCGGATAATCGATATAGCTGCCGAGGATGATCACTTCGTGCGCTCCGGCGTTCCCAGGTCCCGCGGGACTCCATCGCGAGTGCAGTTTCATGTCCGCATTATTCTTGATTTCCCGCCGTGACGGCTCCGAAGCCGCCGCGATCCTGCTCCTGCGATTCCTGGCTCTTTCCAGCCACCCGCGCTTCGCTCGCTCGCTCGCTCGCTCGCATCCTCTACGTATCCCTTCGTTTCGGTCGTTTGATTTTAACTTAGTCTCTGGTTATCTGAGAAATGTTTTTGTATACCTCAATAATAATTTAAATTATTTATTTTCGTTTATCTAGTATAGGTATATTGTCTTATACATACATATATACACCAGAATTGATACAGAATTGATACAGGATTGATACAGAATTAATACAAGATTGGTACATCAGGATTTATATAGGATTTATACAGGAGGAAAACAGGATTGATACAGGATTGTTAGAGAATTTGGTTCAAAAACTCATGCATTATTGGTCTAAACTATTCAAATATTCAGCTTCATATTGGATACCTCCAACTATTTTTAGTTTTCTTTGCTACTTATGTTTGAAATTGTAACAAGATTATTAATACAATTTTGATGCAAGCAGGTATTCTTGTTATCTCGTAGGATTACTCGCCGTCGTAACGTCGATGGCTTTTTGTACATAATTCTTGCGCTTAAGCTCCCCGAAGATATAAAAAATATCCAAAGACCGAAAATCTCAAATACCTATATGAGGGTATATCATAATGGGCAGTTAATATTCCGATTGAGTTCTCCTGCCCCCCTCGACTCTAACGGGACTTTGGTTTTCGCCAGTGTAGTAAGGGAGATATGATATCAAAAATAACACCACAGAGCAGAAGGTTCTGTTGCTGGAGTGACTAGAGGAATTAAAAAAATTATTGTTTTTGATTATGAGTTTTGAATAAGAATGAGATTTGAGATGATTTTGATAACGCAATTAGGCG